TGTGCGCTTCAGGAGATGTGCCCGGTGTTATACTCACCCCCAAGATCGTTTTCCTTGAGTGAGGTTTGTAGTTTCTTGCTCCCCTAGACCGTATTCTTTCTGCGGTCTTCTTTGCTCTTCCTCAATCTTCATGACTTTCCACTTGGTGGGGTTGAATTCCAGGAGACAGTTTCAGGACCAGGCATGCAGCCTGTCCAGATCCCTTTGTAGGTCTGCTTGGTCCTCGTATGTTTGAATTGTTCTCATCAACTTCTTCATCTGCAAACAGAGACACCTCTGGGTCGATTCCTTCCGTCATGTCGTTCACAAATACCAGGAACAGCACCGGTCCTAGAATTGACCCCTCTGGAACCCCGTTCGTCACAGGCGCCCACTCTGACACCTCGCCACGTACGATGACTCGCTGTTATCTTTCTGAAAGGTATTCCCTGATCCATTGCAGTGCCTTCCCTGTTATCTCTGACTGGTCCTCCAGCTTTTGCAGTAATCTCTTGTGTGGGACTGTGTCAAACACCTTTTTTACAGTCCAAGAAAATGCAGTCTACCCACCCCTCTCTCTTGTCTTACTGCTGTCACCCTGTCATAGAACTCCAGTACGTGTGTGACGCAGGATTTCCAGTCTCTGAAACCATGCTGGCTGTCGTTTATAAGCTCATTCCTTTTTAGGTGCTACACCACTCTCCTCCTGATAATCTTTTCCATGACTTTGCATACTGGTCTGTAGTTTAATGGTTCGTGTCTGTCTCCTTTTTTAAAAACTGGGACTACATTAGCTGTCTTCCACACCTCAGGTACTCACCCTGTTTCGATAAATGTGTTGAAGATTGTTGTTAGTAACACACATAGCGCCTCCGCTCCCTCTTTCAGGACCCATGGAGAGATGTTATCCGGTCCCATCGCCTTTAAGGTATCTGGTTCGCTTAACAGCCTCTTCATTTCTTCCTCGGTTGTATTTATTGTGTCCAACACTTGATGATGTACCCCGCCTCTCCGTCTTTCTGGAGTCCCTTCTGCCTCCTCCGTGAACACTTCTTTGAATCTCACGTTGAGTTCCTCACATACTTCGCGGTCGTTTCTTGTGATTTCCCCTACTTCTTTTCTCAGCCTGATAACCTAGTCCTTGACTATTGTTCGCCTCCTGATGTGACTGAGCAACAGTTTCGGGTCAGATTTGGCTTTCGCTGCTATGTCCTGGCTTTCTCTTTATTTCTGTTTCCCTTGGGGACAAACCTCTCCTCAGCTTCCTTGCAGGTTGATGTCACATATTCCATTATCTCGTTTACTGACTTCCCTGCCAGTTCTCTGTTCCACTGAATCTCGTGCGTACTCACCTATTTGTGGTTACAGGTGTCGAGACATATCTCCTGGCCCCACCTATTCACTGGTCGCTACTAGGTCCTCCCTCTCTCTGCTCCATGAGCTTTATCAAACCTCGTCTTAAAACTATGTATGGTTCCTGCCTCCACTACAACACTTGCCAGATTATTCCACTTCCTGACAACTCTATAGCTGAAGAAATACTTCCTAACATCCTTTTGACTCATCTGAGTCTTCAACCTCCAATTGTGACCCCTTGTTTCGGTGTCCCTTTGTGGAACATCCTGTCTCTACCTACCTTGTCAATTCCTCGCAGTATTTTATATGTCGTTATCATGTCTCCCCTAACCCTCCTGGCCTCCAGTGTCGTCAGGCCGATTTCCCTTAACCTTTCGTCGTAGGACATTCCCCTTAGCTCCGGGACTAGTCTTGTTACAAACCTCTGCACCTTAATTTCTTGACGTGCTTGACCAGGTGTGGGTTCCAAACTGTTTCTGCATACTCCAATATGGGCCTGACGTACACGGTATTATACTCACACCAAGATCCTTTTTCTTGAGTGAGGTTTGCAGTATTTGGCCACCTAGCTTATACTCTGTCTGCGGTCTTCTTTGCCCTTTCCCGATCTTCAAGACTTTGCCTTTGGTAGGGTTAAATTCCAGGAGCCAATTGCTGGACCAGGCTTTCAGCCTGTCCAGGTCCCTTTGTACTTCTGCCTGATCCTCATTCGATTACATTGTTTTCATTAACTTCACATCATTTGCAAACAGGGGCACTTCCGAGTCTATCACTTTCATTATGTAATTCACATATACCAAAAACAGCACAGATCCTAGGACTGACCCCTGTGGAGCCCCACTCGTTACAAGCGCTGATCCATTGCAGTGCCTTTCCTGTTATGCGTGCCTGATCCTCTAGCTTTTGCGCTAATCTCTTGTGAGGAACTGTGTCGAAGGCCTTCTGCAGACCAAGAAAATGCAATCTACGCACCCCTTACCATAAAACTGCAGTAGGTTTGTGACACAGGATTTCCCTTCCCAGAAACCGTGCTGGTTGTCATTTATAAGCTTGTTCCTTTCTAGGTGCTCCACCACTCTCCTGATAATCTTCTCTATGACTCTGCATACTGTACACGTCAGTGACACTGCTCTGTAGTTTAATGCCTCGTGTCTGTCTCCTTTCATAAAAATTGGGACTACATTTGTCGTCTTCCATACCTCAGGTAGTTGCCCAGTTTCAATGAATGTGTTGAAGATTGTTGTTATTGGGACACACAGCGTCTCTGCTCCCTCTCTAAGGACCCACAGAGAGATGTCCGGTTCCACCGTCTTTGAGGTATCAAGTTCACATAGCACCTTCTTCACCTCCTCCTCGGTTGTGTGTATTTCATCCAGCACTTGTTGGTATATCCCTTGTTGGTGTACCTCCCTGTTCTGACTTCCCGGAGTCCTTTCTGCAAATACTTCTTTAAATCTAATGTTGAGCTCCACACATACTTGTTGGTTGTTTCTTGTGAACTCCCCACCTTCCTTTCTCAACCTAATTACCTGGTCCTTGACTGTTGTTTTCCTTCTGATGTGGCCATACAACAGCTTTGGGTCAGATTTGATTTTCGATGCTGTGTAGTTTTCGTATTGTCGCTGGGCCTCCCTGCTTATCTGTGCATACTCGTTTCTGGCTCTTCGACTAATCTCTGTAATTTCCTGGGTCCTTTATCTTCTGAACTTTTTCCATTCTCTAGTGCACTTAGTTTTTTTCTCCCTGCTCCTTTGGGTAAACCAAGAGCTCGTTCTGGACTTCCCATTGTTTCTGTTGCCCTTGGGAACAAACCTCTCCTCTACTTCCTTGCATTTTGTTGTTACGTAGTCCATAATTTCGTTTACTGATTTTCCTCCCAATTCTCTTTCCCACTGAACATCTTATAGGAAGTTCCTCATGCCTGTGTAGTCTCCCCTTTTGAAGTTTGGCATTTCCCATCCTACTGCTATTACCCTCTCCACTTGTAACTTCACTATGTATTCTAAGCTCAGAACCACGTGATCACTAGCTCCGAGGGGCCTTTCCTATGTGATGTCCTCGATGTCCGAACTACTCAAGGTGAATACGAAGTCCAGTCCTGCTGGTTCATCCTCGCCTCTCTCTCTCTGGTAGTGTCCCTCTCATGTTGATGAATGAAATTTTCTAGTACCACGTTCATCATCTTGGCTCTCCATGTTTCGGGACCCCCATGTGGCTGCCGGTTTTCCCAGTCAATCTCCTTGTGACTGAAATCACCAATAACTAGTAACTTTGCTCTACTCGTGTGAGTTCTTCTGGCCACCTCAGCTAGTGTGTCCTCCATCGATCTGTTGCTCTCTTCATATTCGTTTATTGGCCTCCTGCAGTTCTGTGGGGGTTGTACATCACTGCAATTACCACCTCAGGCTCCAGCGACACTCTATTAAAAATGTTGTGTCATTTATGTTTGGTGACAGAGAGAACAGTTTACAATTTTTAAATTAATCACACAAAACTGGAATAATATCAGTTTTTTTTTTTACTCCTGTTTGCATCCTGACTCCACTTTGACATCAGTGGGTCGCTATACCGTCTGACGTGGCACTGTTACTAGTTATCACTGTATCATTGCCGCAATTCCACACGGTACATCTCTAATCCCGAAATGTCAAAGTATCAATGTAGCAACTTCACATGACACATCACTGGTTACTATTCACGCAATCTTACATGACATCCTCATTCGTCGTGATATCATTGTCGCATTTTTATGCGACACTTCACTACTTACTAATGCTACAATCCCATAAAACATATAACAAATCGTCACAGTATCCCTTTTACAGTTTTACAAGACATACAACAGTTGATTCTAAGAGGAAGAACTGGCTGTATTCTGAAACCAGTAGCGAGTGTTTCCACTTTCCACGGCACTGCTACCCAGCGACTGTCACCTGACGTTTCAGTCGCCTAACGGCCAAGAAACACAGACCATGATTCCTCCTTTCTTAGCTTAGTTAGGGTAGTGCAAAACCTAACTGTCTTGGCACCGACGTACTGGTCACATTCCACAATTTCCTTGTCTACTACTGACTTAACTGTCTTAGAGCCACGTAAGTTAAATGTTTCAATATGAGACAAAGTATGAGGTGCCATTCACTTCAGAAACTGTCGATACAATTCTCGGGGTGGGAATCCAGGCTTTTGTTTTCTTTCTCCGTTCACACTTTCTTGAGAATGCATGGTTGTTAATGCTGGTACCTGCCACCAAGCTAGTGAGATGGAGAGTACATTATGGAAAAGAACATTAGTAACTACAAGAGTAAGATAAGACTTACATAGGGTGATAAGACTTACATCTCTATGGCAGAATGCACTATGATTTGCTAAGACAAATCAGATTCCTGATGCTCGTCAAACACACCCAGTCCCTGATTTGCAGAAATCTGTCACTAACTCAACAGCCTCTTGCATACATGCCCAGCTCTCTTATTTGTTAAACAAACTACGCTCAATAGCTAATTAACATCTTGAAAAGAAACCGGACATTCCTGTTGCTGAATAAAGCCTGGCCAAGCAGTCTACTGTCGCTGTATTCGTAATAATATAAATAACTTATTTAAATATTACTACTGGAAAGACTAATTACTAACAGAAATATTGAGTAATATGTTGAAGACACTAACCCTGGAAGACGCTCTCCTGGATAGGACCAGTGGGTGCCAGGACCCAGTGCAAGTTGGTGTAGTTGTGGGCGGCAGTGAGAAGGGCAGCTTGGAGGTGGTCTTGAGGTCCTATCAGCACCATGCCACGCGGGCCGTTCCTTCCCAGGTCCTCCACCAGTGACTCATACAGGTTGTTACTGGCAATACAAACTAGTGTTACAAAGCATATCCAGAGAGTCAAATCTACAACAAGTTCAAGTGTTGTTTTAACCTGAAATACAAAAGACATCTGCGGAAGAAGAACAGAAAAATTCCTATCCAGAATACTGATGTTATTATTAATAATAATAATAACAATAATAATAATAATAATAATAATAATAATAATAATAATAATAATAATAATAATAATAATAATAATTATTATTATTATTATTATTATTATTATTATTATTATTATTATTATTATTATTATTATTATTATTATTATTATATTTCTAGAAGTACATGTACAAAGTATACAGTCCTAGCTGACATCAATGACATACTACTATATAGAAAGCCGCTTGTTATGCTGAGCATTTAGGGCAAATTAGGTCAGTTTTGTCCCGGGATGCGACCCATACCAGTCCACTAACACCCAGGTACCCATTTTACTGATGGGTAAACATAGACAACCGGTGTAAAGAAACACGCCCAATGTTTCTATCCTCGCCGGGAATCGAACCCGGATTCTCGCCGTGTGAAGCGAGAGCTTGAACCACCAGGCCACGGGCCACCGTAAAAGTAATGTTTCGTAGATTAGTTATATCCAACTAATATTAATTATTGTCATAGTTAATGAAAATAAGCTGGTGGCTCTGTAGTTAATTGAACTGAATGAAAAATATTTTTAAAATTAAGAAAAAAAATGCACGATGCAGAGCCTTAATGAAGCACAGAGCATACGATGTTATTTTTTTCACGTTTTAGACTCGTTTATTAGTTGTCTAGCAAACAGCACTTAATATGTCTAATTACTCCAACTTCAACTACAGATTTTACCTTTCTAAATGGATCAGCACAAATACTAATACTGTTAGAAATTAATTTTTTTTTTTGCAAGAATCACAAAGTTATTATTTTTTCAACCCTCACATCAGCTACAACTTTCCATTCTCTGATACTTCTTTGAACGACCATTTACTTCCTTCCATACATGGCAGCTCCATACATCCATAATCTGTCTCTCTCTCTTCATCCATTCATCGTCATCCAACATTATCAACAATTTCGTTTCCCTCACCACAACATATTCTTCGTATTTTTATGCTTCTTATTTCCTACATAATATTCACTCTACACATTGATCTCCAAGACAGCATCTTCACTGCTTCCACTATTCTTTGATGAGTTCCTATTTTGCGTCCTTTGACAAGCTTCTCATTTCCAAAGAATCCTCAACATTCTTACTATTTTCTTACTCTCGTGTTTTATGTATTTTACATCATTTTTAAATTTCATTTCCCAAAACATCCTCTAGCAAATACGTAAATATAATTCGTCCACACCCTATTCTTCAAACATGACCACCAGTTGAAGAATTGAGACGAAATTGTTGAGAATGTTGGATGACGATGAATGGATGCATAAGTGTCTCAATTCTTCAACTTGTCGGTTTTCAAAACCATTCATCACATGACCACCAGTATTTCATTCCCAAGACTTGTACTTACTCTTATCACCTTCCTCGTTTCTTGTTCACTTTCAGTTTCTTTAACACACAAACACTTCCTGCATCAACTTATGTAACATCTCTTGTGAATACATTAAAGACACTTTACCACGAAGAACCGAAGTGATAATTATAACCTTAGGTCATATTCACTGCCTTTTATGATCGCGTCTCTCCTTAATCTATATCATAATTTAATTTTACAATCCCATATATAAGTAAACTAATCAAGTAAAGTGAAATCAGACTTCTCTGTGTAAGGAAATGGAAAATATTCCATTTCTCTCCTGCATCTTCTAACACCAACATTTATATCTACATAAATTTAATTGTGCAAGAAAGGTATAAAATACCGATAATATGAAAGTTGAGACACATGTGCAGCATCTGGATATCTTTATTGTAGATGTTTCGCCATCCAGTGGCTTTTTTTTTTATTAGCCGGTATTCTCCCGGCTTTATCAATACAGAAACTAGGACATACTTAGAAGACAGTCTATGGCGAAACGTCTACAATAAAGATATTCAGATGTTGCACACGTGCCTAAACGTTCTTAAATTTTATTAAAACTGTTAACATTTTACAAGCTTTACTATACATCTGCAACACTGCAGCAGCTTTAGCATACATCTGCAACACTGCAGCAGCTTTACCATACACCTGCAACACTGCAGCAGCTTTACCATACATCTGCAAAAACTGCGCAGCTTTACCATACACCTGCAACACTGCAGCAGCTTTAGCATACATCTGCAACACTGCAGCAGCTTTACCATACAACTGCAACACTGCAGCAGCTTTACCATACATCTGCAACACTGCAGCAGCTTTAGCATACATCTGCAACACTGCAGCAGCTTTATCATACATCTGCAACACTGCAGCAGCTTTACTATACATCTACAACACTGCAGCAGCTTTACTATACATCTGCAACACTGCAACAGCTTTACTATACATCTACAACACTGCAGCAGCTTTACTATACATCTACAACACTGCAGCAGCTTTACTATACATCTACAACACTGCAGCAGCTTTACCATACATCTACAACACTGTAGCAGCTTTACCATACATCTTCAACACTGCAGCAGCTTTACTATACATCTGCAACACTGCAGCAGCTTTACCATACATCTGCAACACTGCAGCAGCTTTACCATACATCTGCTACACTGCAGCAGCTTTATGATACATCTGCAACACTGCAGCAGCTTTACCATACATCTGCAACACTGCAGCAGCTTTATCATACAGCTGCAAAAACTGCAGCAGCTTTTATCATACATCTCAAAAACTGCAGCAGCTTTACCTTTCATCTGCAAACTGCAGCAGCTTTATCATACATCTGCAACACTGCAGCAGCTTTACCATACATCTGCAACACTGCAGCAGCTTTACCATACATCTGCAACACTGCAGCAGCTTTCCCCATACATCTCAAACACTGCAGCAGCTTTATCATACCTCTGCAACACTGCAGCAGCTTTATCATACATCTGCAACACTGCAGCAGCTTTACCATACATCTGCAACACTGCAGCAGCTTTATCATACATCTGCAACACTGCAGCAGCTTTATCATACATCTGCAACACTGCAGCAGCTTTACCATACATCTACAACACTGCAGCAGATTTATCATACATCTGCAACATTGCAGCAGCTTTATCATACATCTACAACACTGCAGCAGCTTTATCATACATCTGCAACACTGCAGCAGCTTTACCATACATCTGCAACACTGCAGAAGCTTTACCATACATCTGCAACACTGCAGCAGCTTTATCATACATCTACAACACTGCAGCAGCTTTACCATACATCTGCAACACTGCAGCAGCTTTACCATACATCTACAACACTGCAGCAGCTTTACCATGCATCTACAACACTGCAGCAGCTTTAACATACATCTGCAACACTGCAGCAGCCTTACTACACATCTGCAACACTGAAGCAGCTTTACCATACATCTGCAACACTGCAGCAGCTTTATCATACATCTGCAACACTGCAGCAGCTTTACCATACATCTGCAACACTGCAGCAGCTTTATCATACATCTACAAAACTGAAGCAGCTTTATCATACATCTGCAACACTGCAGCAGCTTTACTATACATCTGCAACACTGCAGCAGCTTTATCATACATCTGCAACACTGCAGCAGCTTTACCATACATCTACACCACTGCACCAGCTTTATCATATATCTGCAACACTGCAGCAGCTTTACCATACATCTGCAACACTGCAGCAGCTTTACCATACATCTGCAACAATGCAGCAGCTTTACCATACATCTGCAACACTGCAGCAGCTTTATCATACATCTGCAACACTGCAGCAGCTTTATCATACATCTGCAACACTGCAGCAGCTTTACCATACATCTACAACACTGCAGCAGCTTTATCATACATCTGCAACACTGCAGCAGCTTTACCATACATCTGCAACACTGCAGCAGCTTTATTCATACATCTGCAAAAACTGCAGCAGCTTTACCATACATCTACAACACTGCAGCAGCTTTACCATACATCTGCAACTCTGCAGCAGCTTTACTACACATCTGCAACACTGCAGCAGCTTTACCATACATCTGCAACACTTCAGCAGGTTTATCATACATCTGCAACACTGCAGCAGCTTTACTATACATCTACAACACTGCAGCAGCTTTACTATACATCTGCAACACTGCAGCAGCTTTACATACACCTGCAACACTGCAGCAGCTTTACCATACATCTGCAACACTGCAGCAGCTTTACCATACACCTGCAACACTGCAGCAGCTTTAGCATACATCTGCAAACACTGCGCGCTTTACCATCAACTGGGAACATGCAGCAGCTTTACCATACATCTGCAACACTGCAGCAGCTTTAGCATACATCTGCAACACTGCAGCAGCTTTATCATACATCTGCAACACTGCAGCAGCTTTTCTATACATCTCAACACTGCAGCAGCTTTACTATACATCTGCAACACTGCAACAGCTTTACTATACATCTACAACACTGCAGCAGCTTTACTATACATCTACAACACTGCAGCAGCTTTACTATACATCTACAACACTGCAGCAGCTTTACCATACATCTACAACACTGTAGCGCTTTACCATAAAATCTTCAACACTGCAGCAGCTTTACTATACAAACTGCAACACTGCAGCAGCTTTACCCTTTCATCTCAACACTGCAGCGCTTTACCATACATCTGCTACACTGCAGCAGCTTTATGATACATCTGCAACACTGCAGCAGCTTTACCATACATCTGCAACACTGCAGCAGCTTTATCATACAGCTGCAACACTGCAGCAGCTTCATCATACATCTGCAAAACCCCTGCAGCCCGCTTTACCATACATCTTGCCCCAACACTGCAGCAGCTTTATCATACATCTGCAACACTGCAGCAGCTTTACCATACATCTGCAAACTGCAGCAGCTTTACCA